CGAAATATTTTCAAATTAAAATGTCGTACTCTATTTCAATTTCGCACATGGATTTACTATAATTGTCTGGAAAAATATGCGGCATTAAAATGTGCTAGTCTTACATTTTTTTCATGAAATTATGATTAAATGTTAGTCCATTAATAAAAGTGATAGTCTTACATAAACATTTTTCAATGTTCTAAAAGTTGCTAGATTTTCGTATCAATGCATAATTCATGTTTATCTTCATACATAATTTATAAGATGTATGATAAAAAATATAGTAATTAATATAGTCAAATACAAAATTATGAAAATTTTAATGTATTATTGAAATTATTGTATTAATTTTATTATTATTAGTATCAATCATGTGCATAGCACAAATGTAAATAAAATAGTATTAGTGATCATGTGCATGTATATTATGTTTAAAATAATAAATTATCACTACAAAAAAAAATTTATATTCCAACGAAAAAAATCATATGGTAATATATTACAATAAAAATTCTAACGGATATTTCAATGGTATAGCTTCCGTTGGAATAGTTCTAACGGTAATTCCAACGGAATATTCTGTTGGAATGTGTTTTTCATTAGAATTTTAGATGAAATTTGATGATTCAAACGACTATATTCCCCACATCATTTTACCGTAGGAATTTCCGTTGGAATATGTAATTTCCGCTGGAATTTTTATTTTCACCCCGTTGAAAAATTCACCGTTGAAATCGTCAAAAATCAACAGAAATTTTAATGGGTAACTCATTCCAACGAAATATTTTTGTTGGAATCCATTGAAAAATTCCAGCGAAAATAATAGCATTGAAATATCCACCAATTGGTTTTGGGATGAAACCTACTTGGGCTTCATATGAACTTTTCCTTCTCATGGTGCACTTCATGTTAGTGGGCCCGCACCCGTTTTCTCCCTGTTTCTTACATGGTATCAGAGCCGATTATATATGGACCGTGCAATGACGTACTCGTTTACCCAGCCTGTTTCTAGTAGGACTTGGGCATGTACCCGTTTATGGGAGTCTGTTTCTAGTAGGGCTTGGGGTTAAGAACTCACAAGTGAGGGGGCGTGTTAGAATATCATTTTTGAGTTGTCCCACATCGTTCATACATAGAAAATAGACCCACCTTATAAGTCTAATATGATACTCCTTCCACCCATTGGTTTTGAGATGAAATCTCACTAATGTGCATCTAGGCTCACCCTCTTAAGGTACGCTTCATCTGGTGGAACCGCACCCTCTTCTCTCGATTTTAATAATTATCATAGAATTTTTTGTTGGAATATAACAATTTTTTGTAGTGATTACTAGCTTAGCTTCTCTATAGTTCTAGGATAAAAAGTATTAAGGTGCCCCTGATGTAATTTGTTTGTCATCAGTAAATTCTACTTGTAATAAACACTAGGCATTGAAATATGATATATTAATACATTAATGTCTCCAAAATTAGAACAATAAGTCAACAAAGCCGAAATAAAATATACCGAATTATTCTATGCTTCACTTAAATAATTAAGTATATAAATAAATAATAGTGTAAAGATCTTGTCATTGACTAGAAATGCACAACATCACATATAGCAAGGTCGTAGTTATAATTTGCAGTTGATCATGACCTTTGACAGAGATTTTTGAATTTTTTTTTAACTAAAATCGGGGAAGAGAGCACGGTCCCATCAGATGAAACAGACAATAAGACTAGATGCACCTTAGTGAGGTTCCATCTCAAAATCAATTGGTGATTGAAGGAGTAACCCACTAGACTCATTTTTTCTATAGAATCATTGTGAGACAACTTACAAGTGATATTCCAACAAGCACCCTCACTTGTGAGTCCTACGTAAGCCCAAGTCCACATAGCATGCCAGGTAGAGAGATAAGCCCAAACCCAAAGCAGACCGGGTAGAAAGAATCATTGCAAGTCCTAGACAGACCTGCTCTGATATCATATTAGAACCGGAGGAAGAGAGTGCGGTCCCACAAGATGAACCGCACCATAAGAGGGTGAGTTTAGATACACCTTAGTGAGATTCCATCTCAAAACTAATCGGTGACGAGAAGAGTAGCTCACTAAGCTTATATACTAGACTCATTTTCTCTATAGAATCAATGTGAGACGATTCACAAGTGATATCTCAATATTTTTTAATATATATATATGTATTAAACTAATTATTTTTATTATAGTTTTATTAATTTATATTCAAAAATCAAAACGTTGATTTTGAACTCGTAAATAAATCTGTGAAAAGCTTTTTTGTCAGTGTTGAAAGCCGAACAATTACAATGGCATCTATTATTTTGTTCCCATTGGCGCCTCAAAAAAAATAAAAAAGTAAAATAAAAAAAAAAAATAAAAAAATAAATAAATGGGGCCTTTATAAATTTGCTTCACTTCATCAGTCTTCTCAAACACTGTCCAACTTTTTTCTAATTTCCTTAATTAGAAAAATAATTAACAGTGTTACTAATTAATTATCTCTAATTATAATTATCTATACAAAAATATTTGAAAATAAATGGCTGCTGATACAATGACACAAGAACAGCCGACGACTGAGTTCAGAGAAGCTTTCTTTGGTAAGTTTCTATAATTATTTTCTTTCATAATTTGTATTTTGCTTTAACTAATAATTAGCGAACTTATTATATATAAGTAATGTGGATTGGTTCATTAATTAACTCTTAAAAATTAATATTTGTGAATTTTAATTTATCTCCGTTTTTTTTTAATTGTACGTAGGGGTAATTACGGTAGAGGAACTTGCATCGGTTATTCAGTTCTTAAACGGAGACCCGACTAACGAAGTTCAGTTCTTAAACGGAGACCCGACTAACGAAGAAGTACTATTAGACGATGACGAAGCTGATGGAGATCATGGCAGTACTCATGTTGATTTCATAGAGTTTTTAGATATTATGTCAAGAAAAATGGAGGTAATTAATTAAACATTAATAATATTTATGTAGTGTACGTATAGTTTGTTATAAAATATTTAATGTTTTGAATTAATTAATTAAATAGGGATATATTTAAATGAGTGCAAGTGATATATTTTTTAATTTGCAGGAAAATGTAGCAGAGGAATTAAAAGAAGCATTCAAAGTATTTGATCGTGACCAAGATGGGTTCATATCGGCCATTGAGGTGAAAATTTATTTATTTATTTATCATTATTATTATTATTATTATTATTATTATTATTATTATTATTATTATTATTATTATTATTATTATTATTATTATTATTATTATCTACACGAGTTTCTTTAATTTTGGCTCTTTTTGGCGTCCAGCTGCATGCTTTTATTCATTAATTGTAACTATTTTTTTAAAGAAAAAAGTGACTACATTTTAATTAAAAAAAATGGTTAAATTGATACGTTAGATACTCAGGCACGCGCGGTAGGTTTAAAATTTTTTAATGACATACAATCTCCGAAAAGTTTAATTAGTCCTTAATTATTCAATAATCTGAGCTGTTAACGACGTGATTAGATATATATAAATAAAATCGATTTTAATTGGTTTAAATAGATAAGTTTGAATAAAGTTTGATTGAAGAGATTTTGAGTTTGTATTTAAATATTATTTAAAATATAATGATTAAAGTTGACGTGATTCAACGAGTGAATGAATGATTGATTAAAGTTGTTATGATATGTGAGGATGATCGATAGATAATATTTATTTTATGAGTTAAGCTGGATTAAATTTAAATTGAATTTTTAGTAGAATTAGAGTGTAAAAAATTATCCGATCAATCAAAACCAATTATACTTTGTAGTAGCCAATCGCGCCCTAAATCACATGCTCAATTAGCCACATGGGTGCGTTGAGTACGACGGCGCAGACACGGGTAGGGTCGAATTCTTCACTGCATTACAAATCTTTGACTTTTTAAATTTAATTGATACACTTTTAATTATTAGCATTTTATTTGATTTAATTGCATTATTATCCTCGTTTATGAATCCAAACGAGATTTTGTACAATCGATGATTCGTTTATAGAATAAATATGCTTTTTTCATATATAAGAAAGCTGTAAGATTGACAAAACGATTAATAGACGATCTAACAGTAACATTCGTTTTGTACAATAAGTGCAATATATATTTGTGTGTATAATTAACATTTTGTTTTGTGTTTACCTTTAATGTGCAGCTAAGGAATGTGATGTTGAATTTGGGAGAGAGATTGAGTGATGAAGAAGCTGAACAAATGATAAAAGAAGCTGATTTTGATGGAGATGGACTTGTTAGCTTTGAAGAATTTGCCAGGATGATGATATGATATCATATGATGGCTTCATATATAGTCCTCTATTTGATTATTATTATTGCACAAATTATATTTCTTTGAAAAAATCATCACTAATTAGGTGTTGCAAAAAGAATATTTTTTAATTTTATAGTGAAATTTTCTTAGCTCAAAAGTATACATAGTGAAAGAGAAAATGAATGCAGAGAGATATATATTGCGGGAAAATACTATCGGTCTCGTTACGGAATTATTCTGTTGGGGTTTGTAACTGTTGGATCATCGTGCAACCGTTGGGGGTAGTTGATCTTACGGTTACAAACTCCGACGAAATGGTTACATAACGAAACAGTAGTATCTCCCTATATTGTGACATCTTTGCTAGTCGTTAATTAGGGCATGACTTGAAACGAGAAAGAAGTTTCTAATAATGATTCATCTCCAATATTTCATTTTCTTTTTATTTTGTTTTATGGTTGCAGTAACAATGATATATATACGTAATTTCATTGAGGCATATTTTTAACTTAATTCATTTTCTGACACATAAACATACATACATATATGTGAAATTAAAAAAAAAAATAAAAATAAAAATAAAAAATAGTTAGCCTATGTTAACATAAAATCTATTAATATATAATAAGGATTAACTTAATTCAATTTTAGAAACTATTTCCCGCCAAATTTATTAATTATAGCCTAAAAATAGTAAATTAACATAATTTTCTAAAATTGCTCTTAATTATTTCCAATTAACATTAATTTTTTTATGGAATAAATCATTTACGCCATTATTTCCGATTTTTATTTATGGAACAAATCATTTTGTGGCTCCATTAACAAAACAACGAGCATTAATTGCACATAATTTCCTAAAATTGCTCTTATTTATTTCGGATTAACATTAATTGTTTATGGAATAAATCATTTTTTCATGCCAAGATTTCTGATTTTTTGTGGCTCTATTAACAAAACAACAAGCATTAATTGCATATACTATGGAATAAATCTCCTCTTTTTAATTCTTCATATAATAAATCTCATCTTTCAAGGCTCTATATAAATCATTTATATGATAAAATCTTAACAATATTTTTCCATTTAAATAATTTTCATCAATCACTCTTTTCGGTACCAACGTGCTAAACAACAATTTGTATAAAAGGATATTCACTACCACGATTATTTCTTCACTTCATTCACAGCGTTCAGAGAAAAAAAATTATATAGATAAATTTTAGAATACATCGATAATATAATGCCGCCGGTCTGGGATACACTCGATTCCGTGAGTAGGACAAACAAACCTTATTTGTGATTGAAAGCAGTCCGAATAATTGAAACGCATCACGAACGGGAGAGCTGGAACGCATTCCATATATTGTTTCATGATGAACAGTTAAATATTTTCATTAGTAATATCAAAATTATTTCTAATATATTTATATTATGAATTTCATTGTTCTTCCATGTCCTTGAAGGTTATTATTTCTAATATATTTATTGTCTTATTAATTTTATTATGTTTTATTGTCATTCCATGTCGTTGAATTATGAATTTTAGTGTTATCATATTTGTTATCGTGATATTACGTATCTCATTTGTTTGGATTAAGTAATATTTACACGCTTGAATTATTGAGTTCCAATTGTTGTTTAAAATAAAATATCGCATTTTTTTTTTGCGCTTAAAAAAAATATTAAGCTTAATCAATTAATCAACTAATTAAATAATATAATAATACATTATGTAAATTGTTTCTATAAATTAATTAATTGTGTTTCTATAAATTGTGTTTCTATAATCAATTAATATTTTATGCGTGTATATATTTTTGTTTCTATAATAAACTGGATTAATTAACTGTGTTTCTATAAATATTAAGCTTAATGACGTACATCAATTATTATAATAAATTAAACATGTTTCTATATATCTATTAAAACTCTCTCTCTCTCTCACTCTCTCTCTCTCTCTCTCTCTCTCTCTCTCCTCTCTCTCTCTCTCTATATATATAATCATTTAGTATAAAAAATATATTTAAAAAACTCTATAAATTGCCGATGATTGTGAAACGAAAATTGCCGATGATTGTAAAACGGAAATCATATCTTCCATGTCGGAAAATTAAATCAAAAAACAATACTAATTCGTTCAGGTATCGGAAATTAAATCAAAAAAGAATACTAATATATACAGTAAAAGGAAATTAAATCAATACGAACCAAATGCATATATGCGTTTTTGGTTTATTCAACACGTTTTATACTTTTGCAGATTTAATACCAAAATAGTTTATATCTTCTACACGATAAAATACAAATGTACAAATCCATAAGATACATTTTGTGGCCGCATATTAAAGTTGGACGTAAAGATTAGTATTCCTATAAAATACCCAAAATCCTACACCATCCAATTTTTATTCCCTTTCAATAAGTTTGTAATTAAAAGCCACTCTCAATAATTACATTAATTAAAATTAATATATATATATTAATTGATTCCTATATATATAAATAACATATTTTATCAACTTCTCCAATTCCTGTCCATAAAAAAAATGCATAGAACTTTCGGAAATATTAAAAAAATGAGGGAGTTATTTGATACACTCCATGCTGTTAATAAGCAATTCTAATTATTGAGATGAAATTTGACGTGAAACCCAATAATTTTTTTTGAGATCATTTTTCAATATCGTGAGGTAATATTTTGATTTGTTATATCTGTATTACTAACATACGTAATTTTTTAATTTAACTTATTTTGTATAACTTTATATTGTAGGATGCGCAAATAACTGTCATTATATGTCCTGCGTATATGTGTGCATTTCGAGGTGTATTTAAGCAAGGCGAAATATATGCACTCAGAGGTTTTTAATAATGTATAATTTTTTGCCAATGACGATTTTATGTTTACTTTATAAATGTCATACGTGTTATAACAACTTATTAATAAATGACCTTTTATTTTTTTAAAATTTTTCAAAATATGTACTAGCCCGTGCATCACACGGGTTACATACTAGTTATAAATTATTTTGCAAGATAATCTAAGTATATATAGGTCCAAATAAATTGACCGCTAACGCAAAAGTAGAAAATATTGCTAAAATGTCCAAATAAAACTAGTAATAAAGTTTGAGGTGAAAGAGAGAGACTCCTTTTGGGCTGATTGGTAAATCAGCTCACGAAACGGCCCATATAAAACTCTTGGGCCAATTGGTAAAGCAACGGCCCAAATAACAACGCTTCAGCACAAAGTCTCATATTTATCCCACATCGGTAAAGTAAAGAGAATATCATTGCTTTATACATTGTTAGCTTCAGCGTATGGTACGTCCCTTCGGGGACATCCGATAAAATTGGAACGATACAGAGAAGATTAGCATGGCCCCTGCGCAAGGATGACACGCATAAATCGAGAAATGGTCCAAATTTTTTTTTCCTTTTCTGCAATTTTTTTTTTCCCAAATTTTTATCCTTGTCCCTTCCGTAAATCGTTTGCTGGTGAACAAGTATGGGTCTATCTTTAATTAGGTCTCTGTAGATTCATTTACTTCGAAATCATCGATTCGATTGGATGAAGAGAAGGAACTTTACAGTAAAGATTAAAGAATGTGGTATCATATATTTTGAATATTTTGGGTTTTATCTTATTGCATTTAGTCACAGACTTGAGATATTACTAGCTTTCTGCTAGTAGTATATATTATATATATAGTTGTTAAGAAAGTTGGGTGATATATTTACGAGGAGGATACGTCTTGCACGACCCTTTTTTCTGTCATTTTAATTACCAAAAAGAGTTGTGAAAGGTAACGTCGATTTCTATTGGCGCCGTTTTACATGTCCAATGTTACGTATATTTCTAATGGGTTAACTCTCAACTAGGAGGGTTCATCATATTGTGTTATATATCTTTGATCATTTGATTGATTTTTTTTTTTATTATATGTTTAACAGTTTAAGTAAACCAGAACATGTTGAAACATGTTGTGTTTGTTCACTACTCAGATTTTTATGAACTGATTCGTCTTAAACCTCGCGTTTCGAATATTTTTCCAGTATCGTTATCTGCTGTTAAAAGCGTAATGCTTGAGGTAATACACGTTGTAAAATATCTTGTAGATGGAAGTGCTGTGCATTTTAGTGTTCTAATAATGCATGGTGT